ATCTTGTGCAGTTGATTAAGAGTATTCTTAAGATGTTAATGGTGATCTTGTGCAGTTGATTAAGAGTATTTTTAAGATGTTAATGGTGATCTTGTGCAGTTGATTAAGAGTATTCTTAAGATGTTAATGGTGATCTTGTGCAGTTGATTAAGAGTATTTTTAAGATGTTAATGGTGATCTTGTGCAGTTGATTAAGAGTATTTTTAAGATGTTAATGGTGATCTTGTGCAGTTGATTAAGAGTATTCTTAAGATGTTAATGGTGATCTTGTGCAGTTGATTAAGAGTATTTTTAAGATGTTAATGGTGATCTTGTGCAGTTGATTAAGAGTATTTTTAAGATGTTAATGGTGATCTTGTGCAGTTGATTAAGAGTATTTTTAAGATGTTAATGGTGATCTTGTGCAGTTGATTAAGAGTATTTTTAAGATGTTAATGGTGATCTTGTGCAGTTGATTAAGAGTATTCTTAAGATGTTAATGGTGATCTTGTGCAGTTGATTAAGAGTATTCTTAAGATGTTAATGGTGATCTTGTGCAGTTGATTAAGAGTATTCTTAAGATGTTAATGGTGATCTTGTGCAGTTGATTAAGAGTATTCTTAAGATGTTAATGGTGATCTTGTGCAGTTGATTAAGAGTATTTTTAAGATGTTAATGGTGATCTTGTGCAGTTGATTAAGAGTATTTTTAAGATGTTAATGGTGATCTTGTGCAGTTGATTAAGAGTATTTTTAAGATGTTAATGGTGATCTTGTGCAGTTGATTAAGAGTATTCTTAAGATGTTTATTAAATCTGAAACTTATTACATTAAAGCTTGCGCAAGACTTATCAAAATTGATCTGCAAAATAAAGAAAACCATTTGAAACCCAGTGAAATTGATATTGGGTTTGCTGCTAAATTATCACTGTCAAAGAATGATGCAGTTATTTTGAAGGATTTAAAAGAATTTAAAATTCAATGCATGCACATTTTGATTTCAGCTGGTGAAAGGTTATTTAAAAGATGTCCGCTTGATTCTGTGATTGATAACCTGAGTACTTGTTTTGTTGTCAAATTGTTATGTTTAGATTATCAACCAGTTCTCAAAGTTTTTATGCTATGAATCAATATGTTTTCATTAGTTATAATTAAAAGAATAAATGTCTTGATGATTTTTAATTTAAAGGCATTGACATAAAAAAGTATTCAGAGTTGTCATCTGTAATTAAGTAGGTTCTGATTCATGGACAGGCATCAGTTGAATAGGGGTTTAGTGTCAATAAGAATGTGGTTACTGACAATATATAAACAGATGGTATTGTTGGGCAGATTACATCAGAAATGAAAGTTGCCTTTAAATTTGCACATCAAAAATAACTACTCATGCTTGAGGAAGAGTAGTCAAAGAATAAAATACATGCAATGATAGGTCAGAAAGCCATTATTTTGTCTGCAATTGAAGAGCTAAAATCGGAAATGGTTCTCCCTACAAAATCTTCATTGATGCTAGAAAAAGAGTTTGTCTTAACTGTAGAACAAGCATATCATTGGTTAGCAAAGCCAATGCTTTAAAAAGGAAAAGTGAAGAGAAAATGAAAGACAGCTAAGTTGCAGGAAACATTGTTGATATCAGAAGAGAAGAAAAAAAAACTGAATTAACAATCGTTGATTTTTGACAATTTGTTTTTTTATATAAAATATCATGTTAATATTTATGCAAATATGACTGTTAAAAAACTAATTATATTTTCAATATAAGATTTTGCTTAAAAGTACTTTGTGTTTAATGAATCACATATGACAAAACAGACCTTTTTAATTGTTTTCTTTTGAAGGATTATGTTAAAAGTAATTTGAAAACTTGTCAAGGTTTATTATATCCATTATGATTTTTGTATTGCAATTTTAAACAAGTTTAGCTAGAAAATTGCTTTGTACAATGACCTTTCTAAAAAGACAATGTTTTAGTTTTTTTATTTGTTTGTTTATTTAATTTTTTTAACTTGATTTTAGCTCATTGATTGCTAGTCAGTTTCTGTTTCTAGGCCTGTTTCAGCTTGTTTAAACAACATTTGTTTAAACCTCTGTATTTATATTTGATGATGTTTTTATTTAAAAGAACTAGATCGTGTAATTTAATAAGTCTTATTATCGATACTCAATATATTTTTTAATGTTTCTAAGCTATGTATAATTTTATCTGAAGATATTGTTGACTTAAAGGTACAGCTACAAAGAATGATAACAAACGACCAAAACCCAAAGTAACTGTTGTAGACCAACTATTTCATAAGATGTTGAAAGATATTTAGATAGATATTTTAGTTTGTTTTTGTCAGAGTTTTGACAAGGCCAAAAGTTTAAAGGTCAAGACCAAGACACAAACATTTTCAAGACTAAAATTTTTGCATAACCTTATGGTCAATTATTAACAAAACTGTAGGTAACAATTGCTGTGACAATAAACCACATGTTGTAAAAGTAAATTAAGGTTATGTGCAAAATTTTACGAAATCAATAAGAAAACATACTTGTAGATATACATTACCGTTCATAATTATTCGAGTGGCATTAACTAATTTTAAAAATCCTATTTTATTTTTAACTATTTTTTATGTTTATTTTTGCACTATTAGATGATTTAAAAGTATTTTGGTTAAAATTCTTTGATAAAAACCATAAGAATAACAAAAATGCTAAAGTAATAAAAAATAGACCATCAAACACTGTAAATTTGTACCAACATGTCTAAGTTTTAAATCTTTGGTTTCAAGATAAGATTGTTTGTCTAGAAAAAAATTGTTGAGTTTATGATAAAATAGTGTGCATTATTGACTGTAAAATAAGGTGAATGTAGTGTTAAGGTGGGAGTTGTTTTGGTTGGATTGCCACAGGTGTCTTTGTGAAAATAGAAGGAGTAAAGTAGTTTACTTGTACACTTAAAAATTATGCTACACCTTCATAAAGATAGAATTTTTTCAAAAGAAAATGATTTGAAGCTTAAATGTAAAACTTATTTACAAAAACTTGTTGAAGTTATTTGAAAGTTATTTAAAGTTCGAAAAAAAAATTAATAATAGATAAAGTAATCTAGCCTCCCCGATCTTCCTCCGATCATATTTTAATGAGAGTAATTTCAAAAACTAATGCTAAATGATGCATAAGATGTGGACAAAACTTATTAGGTAGTGACATAAAAGTGACTTTGACAAAATTGGATCAGTTGTTAAGTAGGATGCCAAGAATATGTATGGCGGTTATTGTCACTAAGGGTCATTAAAAGGCAAGTAAATTATAAGTTAATCTAATTGGACTTTATATCAATTTTTTTGTAAATCTAATAAAAAGGTAGATAACATATAATTCAGGTAGACATTGCTCACCAATACCAATACACTCAAAAAAAATTTTCTCGGTTTTATTTTCTCGGACTAACAACTCTGATTTTTGTGTTAGTAAAAGATGATGTATAAAATAATTAATGTACATGATTTTAAGATTTTTTTGAAGATCATCTAAAACTTATGTGTTTCTTAGTGTTCATTCTTAGTCATCCTTAATAATAAGATCCATACTAACATGTATAATAAAATCCACGAGATCAATTTTTGTAAAAAAATTTTTTTTTTTCCCTTTTTTAATTCATTCAAATTAAATTTTTCAAATATTAGAAATTCTTTTTTGTAAAAAGTTAAATATTCTAAATTCTGTTTTAAAAGTTTACGAAGGTTTTTGTTATCTGTTACAGGGTTATTCATTCTTATATGCGCTTCTATTCAATTTTATATGCATATTTATTCATTCTTATATGCGTTTTAAAAAAGCAATAAGAACAAAAAAAAATCATTTAAGCATTTTGTTTTGAAAAAAAAAAATACTTTTTTCAAAACAAATTTTTCTTATTTCCTGGTAAACAGGTTAAAAATACTTAAAACAAAGACTTTTTACATTCCATGATGGTTTATTTAATTTAGTATCAGGTCTTTGTTTAATTTTATTACATTATTAAATTTCTTAATTGATTAAATTGTTATTTATCTAATTATTCATTTATATAGATTTAAATTTAATTATTTAGAATTATTATTAATATATCTATATAAAAATTTAAAAGCCTATTTATTGTTTATATTAAATTATATTAGAGATTTTATGGGTGGTTGACTCGCATATAAATGTGCATATAAGAATGAATAAACACACATATAAGAATGAATAAATGCGCATAAAAGAATGAATAAACACGCATATAAAAACGAATCACCCTGTAAAACAATCAATTTTTATTTAAAAAATTTTCCGGGATTTTCAAAAAGTCTAATACTCATCTATGATATATATACACTCAGGGTTATATACAGAACCTTGTATATATATTTTTTTGCAAATAACTCTAAAGTAATAACTTTTTTATAAAATGATTGTTATTTTGAAATTTTTTATATAATTCTGCTTCTTTTGAGGCCCGACATGACATACTTTTGAAAATCTTTTTTTTTATATAATATTAGGGACCTGGTAAGTGTTTAATTTTACACTGTGTTTTACAATGTGTTTCATCAACAAAGACTCATCATAAATAGTCTTGTTGATGAAACACAGTGTAAAATAAAAAAAAATTTGTTAAGTGATTTTCTACCAATTTTTAATTGCTCTGTTCTTTTAAGAACATTCAGCACTCTATTTTGTAGAACACATTTTTAAAACTATTTAATATGCGTGTGTGCGTATATATATGTATATGTATATATATATATATATATATATATATATATATATATATATATATATATATATATATATATATATATATATATATATATATATATATATATATATATATATATATATATATATATATATATATATATATATATATATATATATATATATATATATGTATGTATATAAACTTTTTTTTATGATTGATTTTTACTTCCTATTACAGAGATAATCTATTTGGTATTTTTTGAATTTTTTTCAAGATAAATTTATTTAAAAGTCACCCTTTATTTCTAGGCCAGTGTACCGTTTGCTGTTGTAGGGAGCAATAAAATTTTTGAAGTTAATGGAAAAAAAGTTAGAGGAAGAATTTATCCCTGGGGAATTGTAGATAGTATGGTCACTAGACTTATTTTAAATTAACTTTTATGTTTTTCCTGTTTTAAACTTTTCATTGTTGTATAAATAACAATTCGCACACAAAATTTTACCAACATGTTTTGCTTTTTAGTTGAGAACCCAGCACATTGTGATTTCACTATGTTACGTAATATGTTAATTCGGTAATTTTTTTTTTATTTTTTTTTTTATTTGTTGAAGGCTTTCATTTGATAAATATTTTTTTTTATTAAAAGCTAAACAAAGGTTATAATGTAACTTGATTACAGTGTATTTCTTTATTTTTTTCTTACAGAACTCATATGCAGGATCTTAAAGATGTAACACAAGATGCACACTATGAAAATTTCCGAGCTAAAAGATTAGTATCTACTGGTGATCTCAGCAACACACATCAAGAGAGGTACTTTTGAATCCCTAAAACTTTTTGTTAATGTGTCCTAAAAGTTTAGTAAATTTTTAATGAAATTCAATGTAACATAATTTCCTTAATATATATATTTATATATATATATATATATATATATATATATATATATATATATATATATATATATATATATATATATATATATATATATATATATATATATATGTTAAAATTTATTTTTATTTAAAGTAGAAACAGTTCTGAAATTGATGAGCGTGATGTTCTTCTAAAAGAAAAAGAAGCAGAGGTAAACAGAACTTTTTGTTTTTTAAGAAAAAGTTTTGAAAACTTTAAAGATTCTTTTATGTCATGGTTTTCAAAAAATAAATTGAAATTGACATTAAAGTGTCTGAGTTCAGTAGTTTTTTGCAGACCTTGTTGTCTTTGTGAAACTGATACTGACCAAAAATAGTTTAAGGTCAGAGAATTTTGATTTTGTTTTTGCTAAATGTAAAATTCTTCTTATGTCATCAAACACTACCTTTTATAGATTTTGTCAGCTTGATCCTAAAGTTGACTAAATAACTCAAATGAAGAAAATTTTTTTTATGTCATTTGTTATCCTAATATAACAAGTTTTAATTAAAATCTCAGGTATTTTGACTAATTGCAATGTGCCAAAGTTTTGAGTTTTCATGTTTCTTTATTAAGTTTGATTAATAAAGGTTTCAAAAAAATAAAACTTAAATGACCCACCTGTTTGTGGTTTACACTCAAGAGACGTAATTCATAGAAAATTTAATGAGATACTAGAACGACGATTAAAACCCAGAAAATCCACAATTTTCTGCATGATTGTGTAAAATGGTACTTGCAATAACTTAGTATGCTAGTATTCATGATCCCAAATCTACAATACATCAATCATAACTAAAGGTGAGAGAATAAGGTGAATAATAAAAATTTAGTGCGAAAATACAAATCAGCAACTTAAGTATTTTAAACAATTTTTATAAAAAGTCTTTTTTTTAATTTTTATCGTCATGTTTAAACAATAAAATAAGAATCTTTAAATATTAAAAAAAATAAAAATTTTAAAAATTAAAATAAATTAAAATTTTCAAAACTTAATTAAATCTTCAAAATCACAAAATCTTTTTCACATGTTTTTCAGTTTACAAATTTGTGTTATAATTTTGGGTGTTATTTTTCCTTTTTTTTTTATAAGTAGAGCTGAACTTCCCGCTTGTTGGAAAGATTAATTCGTAACCCAGTAGACACGGACGTAAAAAAGACGTCTTATATACGTTTTGGACGTCTTTTGAACGTTCAAAATACGTCTTTTTTTAGTCCGGTGCCCACTGGGAAACGTGTAGAAGATTATAAATTATTATTTAAATACGTAGAAGATTATAGTTATCATTAGGAGCTTAGTAGTTACTTATGATGAAAAAAGAGAATTTATTTTCTTTACTCTAGCACTTGGTTCGGTTTAAAAAATCTTTTCTATTGTTACAAGACAAATACTCTTGAAAAATAAGGTTTATTTGCGTGACACAACATAAAACCTGTAAAAAAGCTTCTTAAAAAAAAAACCTTGTATATATCAAATTTGCCTTAAAATTTTATAAATTGTCAAAAATTGTCTCATGATACTTTGTGTGAATTAATTTTATTTTTTTATTTTAGTTGAAAAGAATGCAAGAAATGATAGCGAAAATGCAAGCATCCATGTCGCTACAACACTCTTGATTATTTAAAAATAAAAATTTTCCTTCAAACTGTGAATCTCAATATAATAGATATCTATAAAAAATGCGAGAACAATATAATTTTTGTTTATAAAACCAACCTAACTTGATTGGCTCCGATTGACAATTATGTGGCAATAAAGTTTTTATTATTGTTAAATAAATAAACTTCATATTTATAGCTTTCCTTTTTTTTATTTTTTATTTTTTGCTTCTTTTTTTTTTATTTTATTTATTAAACTTTTTTTTTTTTTTTTTTATTCTAGTTCTTATCATTTTATTTGTACCGATTATTTCTTTTTATTTCTATTTCAATTATTACTTTTCATTTCTATAGTAACTAATTTTATTTTTTTTGATTTCTGTGCAATTAACTTAGTTATTTCTTTCATTTCTTAAAGTTTAAAATATTTCTTTGAGATTTTAAATATATACATAATACGGATAATATAATATGCACATTTATGATTTTAGAAATATAACTTGTTTCTATTTACTGATATATAATAATAGAAAAAAAAAAGAAATTTACTGAAAATTATGTTTTCGATAAAACTTACAAATAAAATAATTAAACTGTTGATGGTAATTTTATCTAATAAGAGTGTGTATATATATATATATATATATATATATATATATATATATATATATATATATATATATATATATATATATATATCGTCTCTTCTAATATTCTAATACATAGTTTCACCTCTCTTCTAATAATCTTGCGCGCGCAAGATTTTTTTATGTATTAGGATATTAGAAGAGACGTGAATAGTATTTTTTCGTAAAAAGTTTATAAAGTGTGGACCCAGACGTTTGAAAACCGTTTTACTGAAAACTCATCGAAATTGCACTTTTTTGCCTTTTTTAAAAAAGCTTATGGGAATGCAATCATCAAAAAACAATTAGGCATAAAAATAAAACATAACCTATGGCGCTACTTTACTTAAGGCCATACAAACACGGTAGATGTGAGAAAAATTGTCTACCATTATGGATTTTACAAAAAAAAAAATACTTATGAATGTTAGTAATGGTAGAGCGGGTAATAACTTAATTATGTAATAGGATATAAGAAGAAAGGTGAATAATTTGTTTTCTCTTAAAAAGTTTGTGTGGGCGCTGGACGTTAAAAAAAAAGTAGGTTTTACTAAAAGCTTATCAAATTGTCACCCTTTTTCTTTTTTCTTTTTTTTTAGTTCTATGGGGATTCAATCATCAAAAAGAACGATTAGACATAATATAGACATTAAAATACAACATAGTTTTGGGTGCTCCTCTTCGTAAGTTCATACAAAAATGTATACCTAAGTAATGTTTGAAGACAAAAACTTGCTAAATAAATAATAAACGATAAAGTTCCTACAATAATTCACAAACAAGGGTTAAGAATTTATTGTTCCTTAAAAAATATCATAAAAGAGAAAAACTATATTTAATGTTAAATTTATTTACTGTGATCATAAATAACATCCCAAACCAAAAGAAAATAACTAAAAAAACTTAAATTGCCTAAATTAATTTAAATAACTCTTTTTTTGATTGGTTCACAAGCATGATTTCTCGATGTGCTAATGTTGCTCTGATGAACCCATCTCTTGTATCTTTTCAAAATACCAAATGAAAAAAAAAATTGAGAAGCTCTTGTGACTTCTTGGACACATCTTAGCTTCCCATGAACAGGAAAGCAAGGTATATACATCGAGTTATCATTGTACTTTAAAAGTTTATCCTCTGACAATAAACATGTAAGAAAAGGTTCGTGTCCAGTTCGTGCCCAAACTCCAATTAATTAAATCAAAACGTGAATCAGTATTTTCATTTCTGCTGATTTTTTATTTTTTCTGTTTCATACATAAGAGTTTCCGTTTTCTGAATCTCCTCTTAATTTTAAAACTGTTTTAACTGGAAATTCCCTTTACGTTTTTTCTAGACTACATAAGAATGCTTGAAGAACATTTTCACTATGAGCTTTCCATGAAGATAATAAAAATGAGCATTACAATGTCTTTAGATTTATGTCTTCGATGAAAAAGAAGGTTTAATTGCTTGAGTATATGGTTAGGCACTTTCACTTTACTTTGATTTCAAACCAAAGTGGCGTATAAACTCCAACAATGAACTCCACCAGAAGTTGAAGATTATAAAAATGTTTCTTCAATTAAAAGTAAGATTTTTGAGCACAAAAGTAAACATATTCTATTTGCGAATCTTACATGCGAATGTGGCCCAATTTCTTTGCCTTAAAGATGAAATTAGTATTTACCTCCAGGATCAGAACAAACTAAAAAATGTTCTTTTTTTTTTCCCGATGAATGTAATTTTCCGTTTTCTTCTTCTTTCATGTGCTTAGTTAAAGTAGTTAGTTTTCGTCCATCAAAAAAAAACATTGAATTTTTTTTGTAGCTTTTTTTTTTCATTCATTGTAGCTTTTCCAGCTCTACCTCTAATTTTTTTCATTAACTTTTTCTTACTTCGTTTTATTTTGTTGTGATCAACGAAAATATCAGTATTTTTCTTTAAAAGATTTGCATTTCTTAAAGAAGCTAAAGCACCAGTAGCTATGTTAGATATTCCATAACAAATAGCTGCTTGAGTAATATTAAATTTGCATGGTAATATTAAATGCATGGTAATATTAATGTATGGTAATATTAAATTTGCATATGTAATATATAATGCACATGGTAATATTAAATTTGGTATGGTAATGTTAAATTTGGTAAATATTAATATTGGTAATATTAGTAATTTTTTTAAAATATAATAATGTATATATAATAATATAACAATGTAATATTGTATATTATCATATTACTGTATATATATATAATATACATATTATAATATATAATAATAAAATAATATATAAGTAATTTTTTTTCAAACTGAAGTAATTTTTTTCTGAATTATTTGCATCGTAATATATCTAATATATCGTAAACTATCTCTCAGCGTAGACAGCTCTGATAAACAAAGTTCGAGTCCATTACCCAATAGCTCATGCAATTTAGGACATTTTAATACTGTTTGAGCTCGAGTAAACTTTTTATTGCAATAAAACTAATATTATGTTTGTTAAAAAATATTGGTAGCTTTCTGTAGTAAAGACTATATATATATATATATATATATATATATATATATATATATATATATATATATATATATATATATATATATATATATATATATATATATATATATATATATATATATATATATATATATATATATATATATATATATATATATATATATATATATATGCTATAAATTTTTTAACTACATCATTTCTTTATTTTTTTATCACAATATTTAGGATGCCAATGTGATCATAAATAAATAAAGCACGTATAAAAAGCAAATATTTTAGGAAACTATTATCTTAGTAATAATCCTACAAATAAGTTATAAGACTAACTTCATAAGAACTAAAAAATCATTTACCATTTTCTGTTATTGACGGTTTTTAATAATAATGGAGATATGGATATAAGCTTCAAGAAAACAAGTTTTGATGACCATAGTTTATGATTGACCTCATTTTATATATTAGTTGCATTCAGAATTATTAACAAGATCAAAAGTAGCGAGGCCAAGGCCACACGTTACAAGGCCAAGGCCAAAAGTTACAAGGCCAAGGACAAGGAGTTTTAAAGTCAAGGCCAAGATTAAGAATTTGAATGCTAAGGCCTACGCAAACATTTTCAAGCCCAAAGAGTTCAATTTTTGCTTTATTTTAAGGCCAATTATTAACAAAACTGTAAGTAGCAAGTGCTGTGACAATAAAACCACATTTTGTTAAAATAGACCAAGATTGTGCGCAGAATTTTGCATCTTCTTAATTCCTGACATATATATTTTTTTAATTTACAGCATTTGTTTTTATTTTTGTTTTTTTTTTCCGCCTTCTTATTTTTCTTGTTTTTAATATTTTTTGTTTTTGAATTTGTTACACTAAAAAATATAAGCTTTGTTTTTATTAAATTTTTTTTTTATTATTAAAAATTAAATTGTCTTTATAATGAGTGACTATAGGCGCTCTATGAAAAGGTTGTAATGTTAAACCCGTCATCCTTACCTTCTTTGAGTCCCTGACTAATTAGAACAGAATATACATAATATAAAATAAAAAATTATGAAAAAACGTTTTTTATCATGTTTATCTTTACGACGTGTATTTTATGTAGTTTTTACATGATTATATGAAAATTGTTATTGTAACTGTTTAATCAGCAATAATAATATATATAATAGAATTCAACAAAATTAGTAAGAAAATATGTATTTTTTTTAAGGCCAAGGCCTAAACAATCAAGGCCAAGACCAAGGCCAAGGCCTAAATTGGTGGCCTTAAGGCTAGGCCAAGGCTAAGGCCAAGGACTAACAACTCTGGTTGCAATATGTACATTGAAAATAACAAATAAGATTCTCATACTGATTTTTTTAGAGTTTTTAATAAACATTTTTCAAACGTCCTGCGCCTACACAAGACAAACTTTTTAAGAGAAAACAAATTATTCACGTTTCTTCAAATATCCTATTACATAATTAAGTTATTACCCGCTCTACCATTTCTAACATTTATAAATATTTTTTTTCTTGTAAAATCCATAATGGTAGTCAACTTTTCTCACATCTACCGTGTTTGTATGGCCTTAAGTATAGTAGCGGCATAGGTTATGTTTTATTTTTATGTCTAATTGTTTTTTGATGATTGCATTCCCATAAGCTTTTTAAAAAAAGGTAGAAAAGTGCCATTTTGATAAGTTTGACCCACCCTAATGTGGGTCAAACTTTTTATTCGGTAGTCTGCGAACAAACTGCTTAGCATCTGATTCAAATAATATGAGCTGCCATGAATCATGAGAAACTGTCAAAAGTTTCTAAATTTAAGACTTTTATGGTTTTATTAAATTTATTGTAGAGAATCCAACTATCTTTTTATATTTTTTTAATTTGGTTTATTTTTTTATTTTGCTGCATAATAACTTTTACAATTTAAAAGTTTATAAAACACAGAAGAACACAGAACACAGAAGTAGAAGACATTATTTGCAAGTAGAAGACATTTATAAAGCACTGCCGGGTAGAAGTAGAAGACATTATTTGCAAGTAAAAGACATTATTTTGTCTTATCACCAAACCCTAATGTTTGGTGATAAGACAAAATAATGTCTTATCACCAAACATTAGGGTTTGGTGATAAGACAAAATAATGTAAAAACGTATTTACAATTACAGTATAACATCTTTATATTTTACAAATTATTTATTGAAAATTATAAATGTAAAAATAAATAACAATTGGTTTTAGAAAAACTTCAAGAACACAAATACTTCAACATCTTCAAGAACACAAAAACTTCAAGAACAAAGTTTATGTTAAGAGTAATAAATAGGTCAACAAGGAAAATCGAAAGAAAAGAAAGAAAAACAAAAAATAAATTAATTAATTAAAAAGCTCGTATTTACAAGAGCCATACTAAGTATTTATTGAAAAATATGAAAATACTATA